ATCTTCCTATTGCTTTTCAACTTTTCATTTCCTGTATTTCTCATAATTATGGATTTTGCACCTTTTTATGGATGCTAACAATACTCGGCATATCAACATAGACCAGGGTCTCATCAACAATGCCTATCTGGCCCAGCAGGTAATGATGAGTTTTGCATAGCCCAATGATGTACCGCTAGAACTCAACAAGTTTTTCGCTGCAGTCTGATAGCAACTATTGTGCTACTGATGTTTTTCATATCAGAGCTCAGCCACTTCACCATATCATATAGGAACACTACCCACTACTTGCTTTAAATTTTTGAAGTGGAACGTTTCATTCTTTCACTATTTCTTGAGCCTTGAGTTGAAGCACTTCATGGGTGATTGGCATTCCCTCCTTTCTCTTTTCTTAAACATACTTGAGAACTTACCAATTGCAGGAAAGCAACCTTGTTTCAGACTCCCAGATGTTTTCCATGTGGTCTTAGCATTCTCAAGTTTTTCTTTTAATTGTCTCCATCAATGCACATATGCTTCAGTAACATTATACTTCCTTCTCACTTCACAATTATTTGTTTTGTCAGCATAATTTATAACCTTCATTTTAAAGTTCATATCGTATCTGCATCTCATTCCTTTTGGTATCTTCCCGTACTTTTCTCTTAGTGGACAGCTTTTATTTTTTTCCTCAGCAAGCCTTTACTTTTTCACAGAGCCCATCCAAAATCATGGTTTCTGCAAAAATCATGCAATCGTGATATTGGTATGTCCCTACCAATGAAGGTAGGTAGCACTTGAATTTTGAGAGCTCAGGCACCATTTCACTGATTGCTTGAATGAGTTCTTTGTATTCCTCCTTCAGTTTTCCTTATTGCAAAAATCTTGATGAGTGGTTTCTACTCAGAGAGCAAGATTTTTTGAAAGCTTGCACTTAATAATACAGTTTCTCCCTCCTTTAGCTCTGAGTTTTTTTAAAAGTTATTTTTTACTAAGCAAGCCAAGCTCATTACAGAGACTCTCTGGTTACTAAAATGAATGAGGAGAGATTGTACATGAAGAAAAAAGCTGCAACCCTTCTTTCAATAGAAGTGTGAAGCCAGTCATTACATCTGAATGGCAGCTTGGGTAGAAGTATGAAGATGTTTGTATTCAGCTCCTGTACTTGAAGCTCCCACTAGTTGGCCTCCAAGGAATCTTCCTTGCACAATATAAAATTGCTCCTACTGGCAGAAATAAAAAAGCACTGTCTGCCTCACCCAAATGAGGTGTTAATCTTTCATCACCAGGCTCCCTTGGAAACGCAAATCACTTCTCTGAGTGTCAGAGGGGAAGAATCTAACCGTGTGAACATTATACTTTTCCATCTACTTGTAACTCAAGATCACTTACCACAGAAATCCTCAAAAATTTTTTTACACACAATTCTTCAAGGAGAACTGAATCTTCTGAGCATTTTTTTTCTGGCACTGACACCTATTCCATTGGGGACTCCACTCAAACGACAATTTTCTCTTTCTGCTGAGGCTATTGAACAACTATCATTGTGGCTACATATCAAAGGGAGACAAGTGATGGCCTTGAGGTGTGATGCTCCAAAGAAGAAATATACTGGGCTGATTTAAATACCTAGAACAATACATCTCATAATTATACTTCTTTAATTACTCACTTGCAACTATTGGTTCTGGTTCTGATTGTCTGAAATAAAAAGTAACTTTTTCCAGATCAAATAATGCAACCAATGTATCTTCTAGCATGGCTTGTTCATCCGTCTGAAAAAGGGAAAAGAAAAAAAAATGCCTCAAATAAAAATTATGCAATTTCAGTTTAGTGCTTATACTGGAAATTATGGAATACAGGCATCAAAAATAACTGCAGGATGTCACACCCTGTTTTGCTGAAACACTGTTTAACATAATTAATTCCTAAGTGACAGAAAACAGATTTGTTTCTACTGGGTAGCTACTACCTCTTCTATTGGCAAAGGGTGATTAAAATTAAAATTATTTCAATTGAAATTAATATATATTGCACACTGTAAATCAGTAAGTTAATTTACAGCTACCATGTCTTCCTGTGGCATTTAATTAAACTGCATTTGAAATTTTTGTTAATGCAAATAAGCAAGCTTGAAAATGTTCTGTGTGCTGCTAAGCCTAGATTTTCAATTTTACATTATGACAGAAAACTAAGACTTCCACTTATGAACACACATTTTTATTTTCACTTGCAGTGTATGTCTATGATCCCTCATATTGAAATCAAAACAATGAAAAACCTTAACCCTTGAAATTGTAACTAGTACCTCATGACAGCTTCAAAAACTAAACTATGAATCTTCAAGAGCACTTTACTGAACTTCTGCTAAGAAGGGAAGTACTTCAAATACAGCAACAGAAGAAATCAATACACTGGTAAAGTAATGGGGAAGGTAATATGAAGAACAGAATTATATTAAGCTACCAAGTAGGATAATGTAAAACTGATGCACATGTCATTTTCTCCCTAAGCACTGAAATGGTAACAAGATCAATACACTTATTATCTATAAAATGAGAGTTAGCTGAATGATCCTGAATTACAGAAAGGTAAAAAAAACCAAAAACAACCCATTTTCCGCAGGTCCATGGAACTAAGCAGTATTTCTTATGTATTTATAGACGGAAGGATTCTACTTGAAACATTTTGCCTACTAGTTCAATTTATTAACTCCCTGGATATAGGACAATCGGATTGCATTCAGCAACATTGGAAATCCTTACAAAATTGCTCCTTCTTTATTGAATTTTACTGTAATAATGAGTATAACTCACTTCAAGAGCCCTTGCTTAAAGTAGCACAGCCCATTTACATCCAAAAAGATTGATTAGAAACTATTGAAAAAGTTGCCTTTATAATGGTTCCCTTAATATTACTGCTGAAAATATTATTGCTGAAGTAACTCAAAACTCTTCATTTGTTCAAACATACTTATGAAACTAAGGGCTTCTCCAGACATTCAGATAAAGGCGTGGTAGGATCAGAAGCACAATCCACACAATTATACCTCCTGCCATGCCATACATGCATAGCAGGCAGTATGATTGTGGGGCCTAGCATCAGATCCTATAACACCTTATTGCTGATACGGGGCAGCCTAGGATCACCATCCCAGGCTCCCCCTGCACTGGCAAGTAAAAAGCTCCTACAACTGTGAGTCCCATAGCTAATGGGACTTGCAGCTGTGGTAGCATACCACTAAGAGTCCCTGCAGCTGCAGGACTCTCCATCCCACTTGTGCATAGTATATCACAGATGCTAGAAGCCCAGTCAGCTGATGGGGTTCTCAACCACAGGGACTACATGTGCAAATTAAAGCTGGATAGCAACCAGATATAAAATTAGTACACATTTTTGAGGTCTTTGGGTGCCTGTAGACATGCTAGGAGGCTGCTCCAATGTGCTGTAATCAGTGCATCAGAGAAAACTCAATTAAGAGCATGCTGGAGGGTCAAAAGCAAGTCTGCTGGAGTGTGCTAATTAGCATGCACCAGCCCGCCTCTGTGTCTCATCTATCAGCGTCCCCCTATGATGAAGCACCCCTGAATTTTTACTGCATTTTAACCAGGGAACAGCTTTGTATGTTTTGAAAAAGTATTTTATCTAACCAAGGGCATAGAGTAGGTTGTTTAGGCTGGGGGAGATTGCTTGTTGCGTAGTTGCTGATTGCTGACCTCGCTAGAAGGAAAACTGTATCAACAAAGTTCCGGAGCTAGAAGGGGGGTTACTTGGGGGGGAGCTGGAGGGGGGGTTACTTGCTGGGCTTGCTATACATGTCATCACATCAGCAAGTTAAACCTGTTATGTAGCTATATAAGGCAGACGCCCACTGGGATGTGGCTGCCTGCTTTGCGAACGATTGCCAAGCACCACTTTCTGTGCAGAAATAAAGATTAAGTTGGATCCTTCACCCCTGTGTGTTTATTGGCACAAGCGCACCGGGCACCAACTCACTGTCCTTTGGGGACAACAATTTCTGGCGACCCAGATGGGACCTAGCTGACTGCCTTGCCCGGTCCCCCTCTTCGGCTCTGGCAACAACTGTGGATGGCACGAGGGCCAGGCGCCACCGACCTTATTCGTCGGAGGTCTAACCGTCTCCTGGTTGCCTGACGGAGTCAGGGAGGGGCACAACGGCGCAACGCTCGAAGGACCAACTTAATCAGGTGGGGCGAGGGAGGTTTCAATGGACTGGTGAGTACTTCTTTCCATATTTTGGGCAGGTTGGGAAAGAGACGGCTTTGAAAGTTCCAACCGTGTAGACGCCCTAGGCGAGTGAGATCGGGTGGCAGCCCCGTGAACTCCCTTTAATCAGTTTGGT